TTTTGTAATTTTTATCGGCGCGTTTTCGGACCTTTCCTTAAACTTTCTAGGCAAAAATACGAATCGAATGATACCTTGGTCGTAATTTTTGGACAGGGCTGAAAAATGTTACAAATAAAAGTACATGTGAACTAGACTAAGATAGAAATCATCAACTCCACTCTTGGATTCTTTAAAAGAGAGGGAACTGGCTTAGAGAGAAAACTGGTCATTCAGAGAATTATTGAGTTCAATGGGAAAGCATAGGAAAGACCTTAGACCTCATGATAAACTTTCAATAAAAGATTTTTGAAATTATTATCATGAAGAGAAGGAAAGTTAGCACAATGAAATCTGGGAGTTGTAGTGCTTGACGAAAAATTGGAGTGAAATGAACAGATAAGAAGACCCCAAAGGAGCAAAAGAATGTGCAAAAAAACTAGAAATATTCCCTAATAGGCTGATCGAAAGAGATCAATATTTCAAGTATGAGGATTCGATGAGATAAACAACAAATCTCAGACATGAACTGAAATCTCCTACCAAAAAAGTCGAAGAGAAATATTTTTCCCATTAGTTAACAAGAGAAAAAAGAAAGATATTGGCTTTCTACTACTCCATTTTGATACAAAAAAAGGATGAGGGAATCTTCCAAAGAAAGGAAGGAAGTAATCAAGTTGAAAATGAGTAACTCTATACATGGATGTGTAGATCATGCAAAGAAGTAACTTTCAGACACAAACTGTAAGATAGAGTAGTAGAAAGCCTAAAACTTTCTTTCCCAAAAATCAATCACTTCGACTCAAGAGAAAAAAATATTACAAGTACTGCTGAAAATTCGTTTTTGAATGAAATGCGTGTCAAAAATTGTCCACGTATACAATACATGAGTTTGTGGATACACGAGAAATTTCCTGGAACTGAAAAAGTTGGTTTCTGATGAATAGAACGAAAAATGCAATGAAAATGGAGCCAAAAAACGGGACTTTCGAAGACAGATTTCGAAACACTATATGTTTCCTGTTTGTGGAGACTTTTGAGATCCGTTTTGAAGTTTCAGTCATGATGGAAAATATAGATGATCAAATGGAAGATACAGGATTCTGAAGGCAACTGGTTAGTTTTTCATTTTTCGAAATCAACTTTTGGGAATGAACCCTCCGAGAAACTGAATCTGTGGTTTCCTCATTAGCAAAGTACTGATTGATTGCATTGAAACAAAAGTTATTACCTTGAGAAAAGGCCAGGATGGAGACAAATATCCTACAGCAGATCTAATGTCAGTCAAATTCGCTACCGGGGCCATCTCTATCATACCCAATAATCTGCTAGCAGATTCTTCAGGATATAGAATGCAGTACACATTACCAATAGTGGTGCCCATCGAAAAACCAATATAAATTGCTTTCTGGCCATTGGTTTGGTTGGCAACAAAATCCAAAGTAACTCGTAGATCATATTGTCCCATTTGATGAAAACTGAAAAATTTATGTAGAGCCCTGAAAATAGAGCCAAAAGCTGGTGGTCTGACTTCCGCACGCCTTTCGTCACTCTGACATAAAAA